AGAGGTTGTGTTATTTTGTGAGCTGACGGGTATTTGCATGCTACGATGAATAAAACCTCAAGTGACTCGGGGTTTTGTTTCCACAACTGGTGGAGGTAGATTCGAGTATTCTATGTTCAGCAATGTTTCCTAGTAAGCATCGGAGTTCGTTTTTCGTAGTCATAAACTGAACCCCTCAATTATTAGGACTCGAAGTGTTATCTCTGGCACTGGTAGTAGTGAGGCCTGACGTGCTTCCATTTAGTTGTCTAGATGCTCATTGCCTTGTGATGCCTAACTGTGCATCGGTACATCGAAAAGTAACAGTTTTCACGTCACTTCGTTGCTCAAATTAGAGAAACGTGTAGTAACGAAAGGAAGTGTTAGTCATCAATCTTCGTCGTTCTGCGTAGTGAAAAATCCCAAGCTCCAGTAACTATCACATTTTTTCAGGGAATGATTCGAAGAAATCGCATAGTTGCCACCTTAATTTGTGGCTCATTATTGTTGTTATTATTATCGTACTCTATTGTTTTGATACTTGCAGGTAAGTTCGCTCTGCTATTTTGTAGAGTGCTTGGGAAAGACTTCCACGTGGAAGATTACGAGTGTGTGCTGATTTTTTCTCCCATCTCCTGAAGGCTATATTCAATCAAAACTGATTTAAATTTAGGATTTCGATGGTTTTTCTAAACCGAATTATTCTTGTAGACGGATCTGAAACTGAATTGTTAGGGATTAGGGGAAGCCTAATATTCGAAAGTCTATTTTCGAATTCCGTACGTACGCGCCGAGCTCGTCTAGGAGTGTAAAGCGTTATCCACCTATGTACATATTTAGAGCCACCAGAGCTGAACACGGTCTACTCAACGAATTATCTGATTGATCAGAAAATATATTTTTCTTTCGTTGTATAGTAGTTTGTCCTCATAACTTACGGCCAATCAATCTTTATTTGCGCATTATTCTACTGGATATAATACACATAGTGCACCTATGCGTGCATCAAATAAATAAATATTTTATTAATGACCATGGGCACTAGACAAATTTAAATTGTATTTGAATGTCAGATTCATTATTGGGCGAGGCTTTCGAAAAAGAGGAATAATCTTTGGTTTATTTCATAATCAGCGAGAAAATAAGGTCTCCCTAACAAATGCTTGCAATTGCATACTGTTCGCATTCGCCATCGCAATATTTTCCATGTTTCCTAATCTTGTATTTCGTGTCTACATCCACCTATCTACACAGAAACAATATCTGCGATTCTAATTCTATTAACGTGTTAGTACACTTGACGATATTGGTGACAGAACATCATGGGAAAGACGTTGGGACCCGCGCAAGAGTAATCGCAGCTGATAACGGGCCGCCAAGTTACTCAAGTAATCTACCTATTCCAAGTCAACACCCCATCTCCTTTTACCCGTTTCGCCTAGTCACCTCCAGGAAGCCAGTTGGGAGCTGTCTTTGTAGGGTCCACTTATGTCCGATTAGATAACGGGTACAATACTAGAAAAAGGTGGGTATTGCGATTCTCAATTCGTGAATTAACTTTTCTTCCTTGACACTCCGAGGGCAGCTTCCGACATTAAAAGAAGAAAGGTCTGCTCCAGTGATGAACAAATCTGATTTCTCTCATATTCCTTGAAGGCAAAATTAGGAATAGAATAGGTGTAGAAAAGGGCTCAGTTATAAAGCTAGAGGTGGAGTTGGTCTAGGAAAGAGAAGGAAAGCAAACGAAACCACCGATTACGCCCGCGCAGATATCTCCCCATTTCAGCCGCATTACTCCTTAGGATAAAGAAGGGGAGGGGGCGTTGGACGAGTTTCACTAAAGCTATTTCGTTGCTCCAGCTGCCAATGACACAGGCGCAACTGACCACTGCCTCAAAGGCGTCCTTGCGCTTTTCAAGCAGCGCCACGTGGCAACCGACAGCGGAGGGTGGGGCTTGCGGACGAAGGTGTGAGTTGCGGGCGAGCTCCTTGCGCCTTTGTCGCGCACTTTCAAGCGGCAAAAGGGCGCGACATCAACGCTTGTCCGCCTGCCTACTACCCCCGGGATGGAACAGGTAAGCGCGCCCAATCTCGGACCGTGCCTTAAAGTAGATGCTGCTGATTGAGCAGACCACATAAACTTACACACCGAGTTCTACACAAGCATGGGCCTGAATAGTGAAGAAAGTCATGTAGTTGCTCATCAATGTTATTTGGTTTCCTTGAGGTTGATTAATTTTAGAGAAAGAGATAAATTCTACCATCGTTCGTAGAAGTTGATCTCAGTGGCACTGACGACGCTTCTATATTCGATACTTGTCCATTGAAAATATACAATCATCTAGATCCACAACTGCGCCAATTTCACAACCCGCAGTACAATCCCAAAGCGGTGAGTTTCGGTTATCATTTGCTAAACAATTTGTGCTGATTCGATACAACTAGCGAACCCATCGAGATACTGTAATATTTAGTGCTCATGTGAGGGTCTATTAGACTGGTGCAACCCCATTAACCATCTGCCTCACAAAATACTGATCTGGAATCCATAGCTATTTTTCATGTGATGTACATAAAGAGATCTTTTGTCGGCTTTCTTCAGGGCTGTACACTGTACGAACCTCTCACGATCTTAGAAAACGGGACGTTGAGAACTACGGAGAAAGCGAAAGGCTACAAGTGCTCCGCAAGTTATGATTTCACTTTCACTTGGCCAATCTATTTAACCTTGTGAATCTGTCCGCTCAATAGAAGAAAAGAGTTTTTCTCTAGGCTGTCTGAGGCTTTGGAAAGATCTTCTATCGTGTCTTTTGAGGCATTGTAGCACTCACTTTGAGCAGAGCACTTCTAGATGGATATTTACAGGTGTATTTACAATGATCACGATACTAAATACATAGCTGATCCATGGATCATTCTTCCATCTGAAGAGCCATTCAGGTGTGACATAATCGAGTCACAGTGCAGCAATGGCATTTCATTCTCAAGTAATGAGTCATACCTTCACATGCAGATCTACGAAACTGGGTGAGCAGCCTTACCCTCACATCCTGTTCATGTGTCATCAGGCAATCAGGGCTATTCATCAGGCGGTGTGCCTAAAATGAAGCAGAAATAATAATATATTGGCAATGATCCCGACTCTGCCACAGCGTATTGCCGCATAGTTGGGCCCAGGGTCAACCGGCACGTTTGTCCAATTTCAGAAATCCTACGACCCCTCCTTTTAGATATTTTCGACATGGCCTCTTCCCATATGACATATATGCACCACTACCCCTTTCAACCCCCATCAATGTTGTCCATACATGGTGGAAATAAAACGCGACACCGTCACTGCGGAAGGAAAGATGAAGGATGACTGAAGAACAAGTGCTATCGTCCACATCCTCGAACAAAAGGGTGAAGCGATAGACTGTTCCAACTACCACGGCATCAAGCTGTCTGCTCATACGAGCGACTGGTTGACGGGAGCTTGTCCTTACTCCCCAGCAACAGGTCGGGTCCATGCCTGAGGTCAACAACGGATGCTACATCATCACTAGGCAGGTGATGGAGAAGTATCGAGGAAAGTGCGGACACACTGAAGATAGCTAACGGTGGTGGTGCCGAGTTTGCGAGGCAGGTTCTTCATTTTGAAAAGGCATTTTCAGTAAATCTTCCACATACTTGCTGAAACTGCAGGAGATTTCACAGTAAAACAGTTGCCAAACTAACGCCCACCTGCTCCCCTCTCCTCTTGTCTTGTACTATTTATTAGAATGTTTAGCAAATGTGAACCTACAGTAGATTTTGTTGCTTGGTTGGTGAGATATCGAAAC